ACTGTGGGGCTCAGGGGACATCAGAGACATGCTGGAGCCTCCAGATTGGGGGGGAACATCCCAAATTGGTGCTTTTCATTTCCTCTAGCTCTCTGTACTTAAGCAATCACAACTTGCAGCAGTGTTGAGTCCACAGACTTCAGGGAAACCCAAAGAGAAGTGAATCTCTGGGGGTTGGTGGAGTCCTGGCTGCTGGAGAGGGAGGGGTGGCAAGGACCATCGCCAAAGGCATCTGTGAGCTGTTCTGTGAGGTGAACTCCTGGAGGCCTCTGGAGGGACAGATGACATGGCTGTGGGTAACAGCCACAAGCAGTGTTTGGGATGTTCTGCGTGGCCTTTGGGAGAAGCTCCACAGGATAATGGTGCAGCACTGGAACAGGTTACCAAGAGAGGTCAGGGACTCTGGAGGGGGTTTAAGACTTGGCTAGACAAAGCAAGGGATGATCTGAGCTAGTGTTGGCAACAATCCTGCTTCTTACGGGAGACAGGGCCAGAGGCACCCACAGATCCTTCCCAGCAGATACTTCCATGACTGTACTTACATTAAAATTGAATAAACATGCCCTTGTGTTGACTTAACCTGCCCAGTGAGCATGTTGATCTGGTTTTGTTGACATGCTTGTTCCTAGAATCCGAGTCTCACTAAATACAAGTGAAAATGGGGGGTGGGCTGTATGTTACCTGAAAAAAATATGAGTTAGGTATTTGATTAGTTTCTGGTGCCAACCCTCTGGCTCTGGGGAGCTGGCACGGGCTGCACTGCCTGAGATTATTCAGTGCCATATTATATAAAAAGACACATGCTGTCTTTACAAGTCACTGCTCCCTGTTACCCAGGACAGACCAGGATGTGTGTTCCTGTGCTGTGTCATGGAGGGTGAGGTAGGGGTCAAAGAAAACCCTTCTTGTTCCCCTTTCTTCCATCAGAGGCCTGGAAAATGGTAAGGAATTAATCTGAAATTTTGTGTAGTAAAATATAAATCCCCATTGCCTGCAAATTGCTGGATAAGAGCCAAAAAGGCCTAACAAGGAAACATGTTGTATATTTGGCAATTGTATATTTGGCTTATATTTCATTAAATGAGTAACAGCTGAGCAGAAAGGCCAAAAGGAGAGAGACTCCCCCCACCCTGAGGTATGTTCAAGACAGAGGTTGGGCTGTGTGTGAGTCAGGTGCCAGAGTGGGTGATTTAGCATAAAACACTGAAGTTTAACTGTGGATTAGACCGTGTGTAGCAACCAGAGTGAGTGACTGATGCAGGTGTAAAGGGTTGTTGTTTTTTAATGTTTAAATTTTACTTTGAATTCCTTGAAGGTGGGAAGAGAAGGAGCAAACCCAGGTGCTGAGGTTGAGTCTGAGGGGAACTGGAAGCCTGAGGTGATAAATCATCAGCACTGCAGTGAGATTGAAGGGGAAACTAATGTAATATATGAAGCAATATGGAAAGAGGAATTTTCAGCCAGCTCTCAAAGGATCCCATTGCAGATGGTTAAAGCAGGGTAGATCAGGAACCCCTATTGATGAGGCCCACCATCTGACAACAGCAAAAGCAGCAGTGGGTTTCTTCTGACTCCAGCAGGAGTTTCACCAGGAGAGACCTGTCTCTGTAGCAGGATAAGATAGCTGGTATTAGTGAGAAATTACCTCTTTCTGAGGAAAGCTGCTGATAAGCATGGCCATTTTGGCATTTCCCCCCATTCAGGAAATGTGTCCTGTTCTTGCAGAATATTTATGGAGAGGTTTAGGAATTAGTCTGCAGCTCCAAAGCACTGCCTGGTTCTGGATGATGGTGCCATTGGCCTATTGCTCATGGGAATACTGGCCTTGATGGAGAACCCACCATAGCAGCCCTGCAGAACAACAGCCACAGGGATGAGTAACAGCTCCCATGAAGTAGCCTGAGTCTCTCAAACTTGTTTTTTTCTAAATCACCAAGCAGTGGCTAGGAAGCAGTGTCCTTTATAGCCCTCAGCCAAGGCCTGAGGTAAAACAGAGACCTGGTTCATGGAGGAATTTCCCCTGCAGAAGCAAGAGCTGTTGAGCATTGGCACTGCCCAGCCTCAGATCCAAGACAGACAACCCCCCAGACCTCAGCATTGATGCACTGCCACAAACCATTGGAATGAGGAGGGATGTTTCTCTCTATGGATTTTTTTTTTTTTTAATTTGAAGTGCATGAGAAGAATTCTCATTTGGGGAAAGTTTGACCGTACTTTGCTACATTAGACTTCTCCATTGGGTGTCTTCTGCTAGAAACATTTAGATTTATTTTTGTTTGTGTTCTGTCTTACGCAGCTAAGAAAACAGTTTTGAATAGGACAAATTGTCTTGTTCCAGGGAGGAGGTCTGATCTGGAGAGTGAAAACAGCTTACTACTTGGAGGACTGTCCACAAAAGAACAAAGCTCTGAGGCACTTCCCTGTTCTGTGCCCCACTAGAGATAATGTAGAACCAAGATGTTTGCCTCAGGAAACACAACTATGTGAGACAGTCTCTTGTTAAGTGTTTTGTTTCTTTGTTTTCCTAGGATTCATGTGTTCCATTGCCTGGTGCTCTGGGTGTTGTTGCTCCTTTGGATCTGATGGCCTGGGAGGCAAGTACCTTGAGTATTCTCTGCTCCTGTAAGAAAGAGGAATCATGTTTGTTCATCTTACAGGGATGCTGGTGCACTTTCCTGACAGTATTTAATAGCTGGTGCTGTGGAAGAAGACTGGAGTCTTTTTTTAATCAGGTGTGCATCTCTCCAGATTCGTGTTTTGCGTGTCACTGGCAAAATGTGAGGAAGAAATATTCATAAAAGGGCCAATGTTCCTGCACAACAACATTCATGGGAAATAATTTCTGGATACACAGAAGTGCAAGTTCCTTGTGGCAGCCGAATGGAGAGTTATGGATGCCTAGAAAAATGAGATGACGTTGTATGATCTGTGCATCCTGGAAATCAATCAGCACTACAGTTATAAAACATCTCCATTTGTCTGCTTTGGCAGACTGGTCATAATGAAGAATTTTAAACTTGGTGTAGAATATAAATCCTGGTAGCAAGGAACTCTCAAGCCAACAGGAATTTAGCTGCTTGAAAACCTTGGTCTTGGTTTAGTCCAATTTTTAGTCCAATTTAAGTGTGAATTCAACACTTTTAAGTTCTCAATTAAAAGGTCATCCTCATATCAAGCGGTCCAGACTCACCATACCATCAGCCTGTTTTCCAGAAAAATCACCCCTGTTGGAAGGACAACTGGAAATGCCTAAATGAAATGATAGAATTTCTGTGACCCAAGTCAAAAGCAATTTTGCTGTCAAGGCAAAAAAAATTTTCATTTAGACAGAAATGTTACAAAATAGTAGTCTTGATAGACAGTTCACAAGATGATATTTGTGAAACTCTGTAGAAAGAGAAGCCAACGGAAATTAGTTTTACATTTACACCTAAAGCAGTTGCATGGATTTATTACTACATCTGGGGCTGCAAGCCTGAGACTGATTTAACTACTGTCCCTTTTGGTTTCTTATCCAGGGTGGCAAACCAGATGTAGAATGCTAAAAAGAAGTTGAGCTGCATGTTTTGTCCTTTCAGCCTGCTTCTTGTGTTCATTTTGGTCTATAAACAAACATCTCTCAGGTCTCCTAAATAGATTTTCTGATTGAGTTCCCAGAACAGACCACCACCAGCCTCATTAAAGCTTATTTATGTTACTTTCATGTATGAATAAAAAAGCTCCCACTCACTGCTGATTTTATTTAGTTAGATTCTGTTCCTTGTGGTAGACATTGATTTGGAGTGACATTTTTGGCACCAAAAAAGAAAAATAGTGAGACTGCAAGGAATAGTTTGACAGCTGCATCTTTTGCAGTACAAAAAGGAAGGGGTTAACCTGTTCTTGGCTATATGATATTGATTGAGGACACAAAGAAAATACAGCTGTAAATATTTAGGAAGATTCCCTAGTAGCTGCGGTGCTTTTTAGGGCATAGGTCATTGAACTGGGACTCTGGAGACATAGTCTGTTTTCCCCGGGATGCCACCTGCTCCCTGCATGATAGGAAGAGAAAGGTCACTCGTTGTTCTAGGTCTCGGCTCCCAGCTGAGAATGATGCTGTCTCCCTCCTCTCCTTCTCGAGCTTGCTTGTTTATCTCACTAGCTTTTCATCACAGTAATATCCACTCTGCCTCTATGCTGAGCACAGTGGGTCCTGCTCTTGGCTGGGGCTTCTAGACACCACTAAGAGTAACAGACATGATTCTCTCTATGCTTGTCTCCACCTTCTCTGTCCACGCTCCAGTGCTTGTGAGGTAAGATTAACAGCTAAAAAAACCTCAAACCAACAATAAAATCAGTGTAAATGAAGAACGAGGAAGGAAAGATCCAGTATATGTGATAAGTTGTGAAATAGGTTTGAATAGTGTTTTTCTCCAGCCCTGCTGACTGATGGTCTCTCTCACGTAAAGGTACTGCATTTTGGGACAAGAAGGATCTGAGCCTGTCATTTAGTCAGAGGGGTGAACAAAAAGCAGCTTTGCCTCTTTCCTTTGCACTAAGCACATTGTGAATATTCTTAAGCATTGCCACAAGGATTAAGATCCCTGAATTTTAATGTGCCTGGTGCTGGAATGTAGCTGGAAAGCAGAGCAGGCAGGAATGGTCTCTCTGGGCTGTGGGCTCTGCTAGGTGACTCTGAAGTTCTATTCAATAGCTTTCTGTTACTCTTTACATTTTTTTTCCCTTTTCTGCTTTTTTTCCTCCTCCTTCAAACACTTCTGGAACAAGTACTGATACATTTCATGCTTCTCAAATTTACTGGACTGGATTCTTTTATCTCCACATACTTTTGCATGGCAGTAGTATTAAAATAAAAATGTAATAAAGAAAAAAAAAAGCATGGGGACAGAAGTACGGAGTTTGGTGTTTACTTTGGATCATTAACCTGGTCTGTAAATTTGATCTGATCTTTTTTTTTTTTTTTCTGTTCCTCCACTGTTCTCTCTGTGTAATTTCAGAGCCTGCAAAGAGACGTTGTCTTCTGTGGCTTCAGGATCCCAGCAAGAAATGGGAGTCTGATGGATTGTAAATGCACCTGCTTTGTTTAAAACCCAGCCAAGCAGATAAGTGCACTTTTAATTCTCTCCAACTGGTGCTTTAGACATAGCTCTGCACAGCATCTCTCTTCAGTTTGCTTTCAGTTCGGTGAGGCTCTGTGTTTCACCCCTGCAAATGAATGCTGTGTGGATCTCACTTCAGCTGAGAAATACCAGACAATATTGGTATTTCATGCTAAGGTAATTAATTGATGTCTGAGGGAACTGCAGCTGAAGGGCTGGGAGGCTCCCAGGGCTTCCTGCTCTTCCAGAGCCGCTGTCTCCAGCAGCCCTGTGAGGTTTTGGGACTCTGAGGAGTAGCTCTGTGGGACCAGACAAGGCTGTTGTGACCCACCTGAGCCTTAATGAGTCCTATGGGACTCATTAGAGGTTTAATAACTAAACTTGGCTGGTCTGATTAAGAAGATGCTTGTGCAGGCTTGGCATAATCTCAGAGAAACCAGCTCATGCTGTGGCAGGAGAAAGGGCTTTCTGCATGTGCTTGTCATATGTGTGCAGAGAAAGTGATAACCCTGCTTCCTCCCACCAGCTTCCAGGTGGGAAAAGAACTGGGGATGGGGGAGAAAAGACCTTGGTTACACTGAGTTTACCCAGGGTGTGCAAAGAAGTATCGTGGGTGAGTGGTAACAAGAATTGTCCTCTCAAATTTAGGTGAACATTTTTATCTGTCTACCAAGAAAGCAATTTCTGGCTGCTTAGATCTGCTTCTAGAGGTGACCACTGTCTCCTTGTGGCCACCCCACTGCAACTACTAAATTATTCAAGAAACCCATAAATAGGGTCTCATGTAAAGTGTAAGTTTGCAATAATATACAGTCATGGGGCTGGGGCAGATATTCACCATAATGTAATTTACTGTGTTAGAATGATGAAAAGAAAAGTACTGAGGCTGAGTGCGTAAGCATTGTTGCGGATGTGTGGCAGGAGGCTGGACGAGAGCCAAATAATCTACTCCAGTCTTGTCTTGCCTGCTCTTCCAGGGATAATTACTAGTGTAAAACATCTACCTTGCTATTAGGAAAACTACAAATAGGTTTGCTACAGCAAATTAGGCTGTAGTAACTGACCTGTATTCATCTTACCTACCTAAGCAGAGTTTCTTGGTGAAGTTGCCAGTTTTGGGGTGATAAAGAGAGATAGGAGAGACAAGGAGCGGAAGTGGGAGGTTGCTGCAGTTTGTGAGAACTAAATCTGGATCAACTTGTGATCCTTGAAGTATCTGAAGTTCCTTCTTTTCTAGGAGAAAATTCACTGCTGCTGTTATTACTAAGGAATTTTTTATATTAATAGAAGAAATGGCATGTCTGTTAGTAATGACTAAGCTCTGTCTTACAACTGTAAACAGTACTTATTCCTGACTATTCAGTACTTTGAAAGCAAAGAAGCTTGACACTATATTAAGAAACACTGATTAAATGGAGCTCTAGTGAGAAAATCAGGGCTAGTTTATTCAGCAAGGGTGGATAGGAAGTTAAAAAAGCTTAAAACCTCTCTGTGCACCAACTAATGCAGATTAACGTTTTTCTCATCTCAGAGATTCTCAAGGTACTGATTTTCAGGTTTGCAACTTTAAATCTCTTCTCTGCCAGTGAGCTGAAATCAATGTATCCCCCTATTAGATCCCATTAAATTAACCCCAAACTGGCCAGTTCTGAGCCATCTGACATTACTCAAAGTCAAATTTGGGAATCATCCTGAGGTGTGGCTGGCATGCAACATGTAACACTCTGTGCTGCCTGGAAGAAGAAGCAGAAAACCCTTGAAGTGTCTCTTGGGAGCTGTACTGATGACAGAGATGATACCAAGGTTGTTCTATGCACCTGTGGTTTAGCTGGTACTTCCTGCAGCAGAGAAGAACAGATTCAACAGCTCTTGTCCAGTTACTGGAAAAAAATTTTGTCCCGCAAAGAAGATCCTTGAATCCCTAACTCCTTGTCTTACAGGTGAAACTTGAGGACATTTGGGACACTGTAGCTCCTGAATGTGTGACCTTCCCCTGTGATTAGAAGAAAGCCATGGGGAAAGACAAGAAAGAAGAGGCCATCTTCCTGAGGAAAAAGATAACTTTGCTGCGGGCTTTCTCGCTCCTCATCGGCAGCATGGTTGGCAGTGGCATCTTTATTTCCCCCAAAGGAGTACTGAAAAACTCTGGCAGCGTGGGATTCTCCCTGGTCGTCTGGTTTTCCTGTGGGCTTCTCTCCATGTTTGGTGAGTGCTGAGCTTTGGCAGCCCTTGCTTAAGCACCTGGGAGGTGAGGGGAGCCTGCACATTTTTATGTTAAGAAAGCTGGGAGATGAATAAACCCAAAATTTTTAGTTCCTGCTGCAACAAAGGTTTAAGGAGTCAGGGGATGGTCACTTGGAGTTTTTAGTTCAAATTATTTCCCTGGGGTAATGGACAAACTTCCAGCACTTATGGTCTGTAATATCAATTGATGTACAAGTCCAGAGCAGGGGAGTGACAGTGACTGGAAAGAGAGACAGCATGGTCTCTGCCAGGAAAGGTGGGAGAGAATGGGGGGACTCCTTCTGTAAGGTTGAAAGGAGATGTAGGCACCTAAAAGAGAATCTGAGGGCTGTGCTGTGCTTTTCACAGCCACTGTGAAGAGAGTAGAAAGGGTGAGTCCCAATATGCCCCATGGGACCCCCTTTCTGTTAGAGAGATTGGCTGGAGCAGAATGCCTGGGGAGCTGCAGGGGATGCACCAGCCCAGAGTGGGTATTGAGTGTCTGTAAAAAATGGTGTGGGGATGTCTGATGCTGCCCCACTTTCTGTGTTGATATTGGCTTGATTTCTGTCATTTAGTACCAGTCTTTTCTCACAAAGGTTGTCTTTTTGATGTCTAGTTTCATTCTAGTTCTTTTGAAATAACACAGCTCTTCTAAGTTACACTGGACAAAACACATGGCTTTTAGTTTCTTTCATTAACTGTAAAAAAAAATCACCATCTCAGAAACTCTCTAAATGTGCTATTAGAACAACTTCTCTCAGCACAGGAGAGAAATCTGATGCTTATTATAGTGGGTGACTTTAACATTTTCTTCTGTTTTAACTAATTAAAAAAAAAAAAATCCACCAAAAAAACCCCCCAAAACCACACAAACAAACAAAGAAACAAAAAAACCCCCAAAAACAAAAAAAAAAAAAACAAAAACCACAAAAACAAACAAACAAAAAAACCAAAACAAGAAAGGAGACATATACCATGTAGAAAAAAAAATCAGCAGAATACTTTGACACTCTGTATATGTAAGTATATATATACGTATATGCAAGTCTAGAAATTGAGACATTCGATTGTTAATAGGGCAACAAGTTGTTCTTGCTCTTAGCATACGTGTACCAATATTTCACATTGCAATTTCTTTGTGGTTGTTTGGTGAACTATACACTTCTGCTTAAAGAAAAGCTGGCAGTACAATGTAGGCATGGTGTTTCTTTTAACCAAGCAGAGCAGTAAATGATAATGTATGTGTAATCACATAGCCAAGCTCTGCACTTGTAAAGGTTTTTTCCCTCTACAGCATCCTTTGATATGCTCTCCTGGAAAGGCCTTGGGAACCTCTTTACCAAGTGATTGCATTTTGTAGCTGGATTAGTCTGTTGCTTCTTCTTTTTTATCAGCTTGATGCCCTCCCCTGATCATTTCTCTGACACTTTTCTGCAGTCTATTTAAAAGGCCTGCTTTCTTTGTGCTGTTTTTTCTTTCAAGTGGGGTATATATACAGGTCCCATTCCATGAGTTCAGCAACATACTTATATGCATGCTTGAAGCATTTAAAGGGACCCACTGGAATAAACGAGATGACCTGTCTGCCTATATTTGATGCTTTGAACAGGAGTTCTGCACAAATTTTCCAACAGGGAGGCAGGAAACATTGAGGTTGTCACCATCCTGCATAACCTGAATATGGCATGATTGCCATGGGACTTAGAGGCATGGCCATGTCACCACTGGATTCAAAGGAGGGAAGGGATTTATGTGAAGATGCAAGATAAGGACACAAGAATGTGGCCTGGGATCAAAAATTGAAATGACCAGTTCAGCTATGGCTTGTGGCTGAGCTGCTGTAGTTGCTTGGTAAGCACCATTTCATCAGTCTAACAGTGAGGAGAAGCAAGAATCCAGGGTATCTTTCAAAGAAAACCTCTTGTAGCTCTGTGCAGCATTTCTATCACACACCCTTCTTCAGAGCTTTCATGGAAATGTTGTAACATTAACCACAAAACAGAGAATTTCTTTCCACCTGTCAGGTAAGCCAATTACTTCAAAATTTACTTCAAACCACAGTAGTGCACAAAAATAGAGAAAAGTGGTTCTCTTAAACCTCTTTCTTTGTTTCATTCACTACTTATTTTAAATGGATTTGTTCAATCCCTGAAAAATCACACAGAAAAGGAAAAACCCCTGGGATTATTTACTTTGTACATTTCTACCTGAACTTTTCCAGGTGCCTTGTGTTATGCAGAGCTTGGAACAAGAATCACCAAATCTGGAGGACATTATATCTACATTTTGGAGACGCTAGGGCCTCTGCCAAGCTTCTTATTCCTGTGGGCAGAGTTTTTTGCTATCAGGTAAAAAATTTGATTTGCTTGCCTCTTCCTGGATGCAATGATAATTTAAAATACCAAAAGTGATGGCACCAGATAACAGTCCAGGCAGTTTATAAAGGAAAGAGTTGTATGATTTTTAAAACTTTTTCAGTGATAAAAGTAAGAAGATGCAATGTGGAAATAGTTACAAATGTTGAATATGTTCTGTACTTGAAGAATATCTCTCTTCTCCCCTGGCAGTTCGTATCCCCCAAGAGCTGTGGTATATTTCAGAGACTGACAATAGATACCAGATTTATTTCAGATCTTCTGTTTCCAGTGTGAAACTTTTTTTGTTTCTTCAGATTCAGAAAGTGGGGACAACTTCCTGGCTTAGCCCCGGGTTAAATAATTTATAAAATTGTGGACTACTTCTTTTTTTAACACTAAAAAGGAAGTCCACATCTCTCAATAACCTGTCACCTTCATGTAAGCTTAGATGAAGCAGAACATATGAACTACACTTGCATTGCTCAGTACGATTAATCTCAACTTTTGCTTTCAAGTTGGAAATTAATCATTTTGCAGCATGTGGTTTTTAACCCATTTACTGAGAAAAACCTATGAGAAAAATTTGATAGGAATTCACCATCTGCATGGGTGAGAGGATTAAGCCAGGTGGGGAAACTTGCTCCCCTTCCCAAGTTTTGTGCAGTTTTACCTCATGCCATTTTTCAACCATCCTCAGAGCAGTCTGTGCTTTGTTCCCCCCACACTCCCCACTCCAGGCCTGCCAACAGTGCTGTTGTTTCCCTGGCATTTGGACGCTACATGCTGGAGCCGTTTTTCGCCCCCTGTGCTGCACCTGTCCCTGCAGTGAAGCTCGTGTCTCTCCTGGGCTACTGTAAGTACTAACATTTATGGGATTGTCCATCCTGGCCTCTCTGCCCTAGACTAGGAGCACTTAGGGGTGTTATTTCCTGGACAGCTGTGGGATAAGGGTCCTGTCTTACCTCCCCAGCTAACCAAAATGTTCTGATTCAAGGTGAGGGTGTTGGGCCACTATACTCTCTAGGAAGTGGAATGTTGACCAACTGGAGCCCTAGGCAGGGGGATTTTGCCAGGTGTGGGAGAAGAAACTCTCCATGTGTAATTGTGCAAAAGCCACATGAGTTCTGGGTGTAAGGCTTGAGGTTCTGGACTTTTCTCCTAGTGCATCCAGCCTGTGAAACTGTCCTGCCTGCCCCAGACTGGTGTGGATTGGCACAGGGAATGCTGTGAAGTGGGCTGCTGACATGTCCCACACCATTCCCCCAGGCAGGTGTGGATCACCCAGCAGGAGCCAGGCTCCTGCTCCACTTTAGGAGTGTAAGTCAGCTCCCTCTTTAAACTCTGTATGCTGAAACCAATGTTTCCTGACATCTCTCATCCCAGGAGTCCTCTCTAAGGCATAAAGATACAGCCTTCCCCCAGCATCCCTAGGGCAGGGAGAGCTGCTGTATTTTTTCCTGTGTGTGTTGAGCCCAGACTGCAGCTGTAGCAGTGTGGTTTCCTCTCCAGACATGGTCCTCACCCTCAATTCCTGGAGCGTCACCTGGAGCGCGCGGCTGCAGACGGCTCTCTCTGTTGTCAAACTCCTGGCTCTTGCACTCATCATCGTGCCGGGGATGATGTTGCTGGCCCAAGGTAGGTGTTGCTGCTCCTATGGCTGAGGAGGGTGCTCAATGTGACCCCTGTCACGGCTTTTATCAGTCCCAAGTGACAAATGTGGTGCTCACTCAGCTGGCAGGAGCTTTCTCTGTCCATGTGCCAGATGTGAATTAGCTGGGAGCTGAGACCGGCGTTGGTGGCACAAGCTGCATAATTGCACTGGGCTGATGCTCCTGGCTTGGTGGTGCTTTCTCTACAATTTAGTGGGTCTTAGTGCCAGAGGATGTGTGAGCCTACCCAGGGTAACCTTTCTCTGCAGATGGTCTTTCTTTGGAGTCAGACTTGCCTATTTCCAGTGCAGCTCAAAATCTTTCCAAAGCAGCACATATTTGATGGACATTTAGGATATGTGACAGCATCCCCTGTGCCAATCACAGCTGTGTAATGAGTTACCAGCCCTCAGATGAGCCCTGGTAATGGCATCTCTAACCCTTCTGTAGCACGATCTAATGTTTTTTACCTCCAGATTGAGATGGGTGGTAATTCAGTGAATTTACAATGAACTTGGTAAAGGATTTCATGCCCATATGCAGAGTGGGGGAGAAAAGCCCTACCAGTAGGATCTTCTGTGAACCATACAAGAGTATTGGCTTTATTCCAAGCCTCAGTTTATAGAAAAGCCCAAGGCATTCCCACTCAAGGGATGAAACCTGCTCTCTCTTCATGCTATTACCTTCTTCTGCAGAGAAAACACCACAGGCAATGGGCTCCGTGTTCATGTTTCTTTCTGATGTCTGGAGTTGGCTCCTTTGAACATGCAAAGCTCCCCTTGGGCTGGCAGCACTTCTGAACTAAAGGACTGCCCTGCAGCTAGGAAACCCGAGCCATTATTGTTAGGAATGCCTTCAAATGACAATCTGGAGCCCTGGCACCCATCCTCTTGTTGGGGAGGATAAGTGCAGGTGACATCTGGAGGGAGAATTCACCAAGAGACTCCAGTATGACAGGTTGTATTTAATGTGACTCACAAGGGAATGTAAATTGCTCATTAATGCATTGCAAGCAATAAATCTTTTTCATGCACCATCACTTACCAGCCATCATTTTGGAACATAAACAAAGTACCCCAATAGACCCACTCCTATATCTTGGGTTAGTTTTCTTCAAACCTATTTTCAAATTGACTTTTCTTTTTTTTTGTGCTTAAAAATCAGTTTTGCACTTTTAAATAATTTTTACTGATTCCTCTGCCTTGTGCTGCTTTTTTTTGATTGCACTTCTGTCCTTTTCTTTGCCATTATCTTCTCTTTGGCTCAGGATTATATTAGAGACTTGCTGGGCCAGCGTTTCAAACCCATGTGCCCAAATCTTGTCACTGAAGTTTTTGCAGAAGCACCTCCATAGAAGTGGCCTGACCTTCTCCATGTGCTCCGTGCCGTGTCACACCTTGCCTGGTAAAACCCAACTGGAAAACTTCTCACCTCTTAAAGAGAGTTTATTATGGAAAATTGAACATAGATGTGGAACCAAACCTTGGGTTACGTGGATTTGAAAATGTTGGGAATGCAATTCTTTTTGACTGTGTTTGAATGAGAGGCAATTCAGAATTGCTCTCTTCCTTAAATCTTTTTGTTTGATTTAGAGAAAATCCTGACTTTGATTTTTTTTTGTTAAGTTTTGTTTTGTTATTTCAAGCAGAGAACTTGAAGGAAAATTAGGGGAGTTGGTGAATATCTGAGGCACCTCTACTTTAAACATGTTGTTTGCTTCACACTATGTCCTTTCCTGTGGGCAGAGAACTTGAAGGAAAATTAGGGGAGTTGGTGAATATCTGAGGCACCTCTACTTTAAACATGTTATTTGCTTCACACTCTATGTCCTTTCCTGTGGGTGGGAGGTGGTGGGTCAGACTGGCAGGTCTTGCTCCCACCCCCTCCTCCAGCCTGGTTCCCATGCTCTGGCCAGCACAGGGCTAGGGTCAGTGCTCCAGCAGCAGGAACAGGAGAGAGCACAGTGAGAGCTGAGTTAGCTGCCTCACTGGCTGCACCACATCAAAGGGGATTGTGTGTCCAGCTGCTGAGGGGGCTGGGGACCGAACAAGGGGGTCAATCCAGCAACTTAATTTTGGACCTAAAGGAAGGAGAGGACAACATGGATCGGCTTGTCTCCATGATCTCCTGTTCCCACATCAGGGTCTGTTGGAAAAAACTAGCTATTGTTGTTGCCCTTCCTGAATTGCCTAACCTAGCTGGACAAGGGATAGAATTTTTTGGTTTTTAATGTCACTGTAGGAAAGTAAACATATCAGCAACAACACTGAAGTTAAAGCAATGAAATTAATTTGAATACCCTTCTCCAAGGAAATCACAAACACTCTTCCCAGGTCAGGGCAAGAGGTACAAGGGATGTTATCCCTAGGGAAGGAAGCCTGTCTCTGACGCATTCCTACCCTGTGTCCACTGTTTATCTTCTCTGCAGGCCACACCGAGAACTTCCAGGATGCTTTTGACAGACAGTCGCTGGTTCTGGATAAGCTCCCCCTGGCTTTCTATGCAGGCATGTTCGCATACTCCGGCTGGTAGGTGCAGTGGGAAGGCACTTCCCGGGCAGCAGACAGGTGCCCTCAGCATGACTCAGACTCTCACCCTGTCTCTTCCCATCGTGTAGGTTTCAGACCAGCTTTGTGCGGGAAGAGTTGGTCAAACCTGAACGGTAAGGCTGGGAGGAAGCCGCCCTGGGTCACCAGCATTGGGGCTCCTGCAGCTTTCACAAGTGCAGTACAGGAAGAATAAATTTGTGGGTTCACCTGACTGCAATCAGTTGTACTGCCAGATAAAATCTGCAGTAATACTGTGCATAAGAAGGGATAGCAGCTTGTTCTTTGTGTGTGTGTGTGTGTGTGTTCCTCTTCCTTGCAGAAATATCCCCTTGGCTGTCATCGTGTCTGTGATCACAGTAATTGTGGGATACATGCTCACCAACGTCTCCTATTACACAGTCCTGGGAACAGAAGATGTTCTGGCTTCTCCTGCTGTGGCTGTGGTGAGTTGTCATTGCTATTGTTATCTCGTTAGTGTAGCCAGCTTTTGCTGTGGTCATGGCAAGTTTTTCAGAGATGGTTTTCCTATAAAATGCTTTATTGCTCTGTAATTTCTCTGGATTACTGGGCAACAGTAAATTCTTCTTGTTGTGCCTAAAAGATAATGAAAAGTAGCCTGCAGATGACAGTAGAAAAGGTGAGATTTATGACTTCTATATTACTCCTTCAATGGATGAAGTTTTCTTTTTTTTCACCTTGATGTCACCTAGAGATCACCACATGTTCCCTAAAGTCATGTTTGCTCTTCCTCCAGAGCTTTGTGCAGCGAGCCTTCAAAAGCCTGATCTCCGTTGTCCCTGTCCTTGTCGCACTGTCCTGCTTTGGAACTATGAATGGAGGAATCTTCACGTTTTCAAGGTCACATGCCTAAGGGCCTATTATGCTTTTGGCTCACTGAATCAGAGGGAAGCATCACCAACCTGTGCAACTACCCATGCACACAGTGGCATTTTAGCCAATCTTGTGAGAAAAATAAGGCTTTTGACTCCCAGATTGTCAGCTACAGGATGGTCCCTTTTGGCTAAGAGTCTACTTTTTCTATTTCTGACCAGGTCCAGACTTTGGTATCCAGGACTGCTCACAAACAAAGATTTTTATCTTCTCCCCTACCCTTCAGTTTAAATCCCCAGTTTAAAGTGAAACGTCAATTTTTCTGGTGAACTAAAGGCTTTGTTGATGTTGGCAGCTGCTCAGTGAGACTGAGTCTTCTTCCACTGGGTTCACCCAGCTGTGCTGCTGGAGGGCATGGGGTCCCTCTGTTGTGAGGCTCTCTAGGCAATCTCTCCCTTGAGAACTTTGCTTTGAAGTCAGTGAAATGTCATTGGGATGGGCTATTCCTAAAGCAATAGTCAAGGTTCAAGAAGTCTTGCTATAACAATAAGAAAAACTTTATCCCATGGAAAAATAAACTTGCCAGCTTCATTGTCTGCTGCACTCCATGTCCTTATGGGAACCTTGAAATTGGAGAGGAGGCAGGCCTTATGAACAGCATACTTATGTTGTGCTGGTCCTGTGGAGCTGAGCAAACTCTCTGCAGAGGGTTTTGCTTCACAGCTTTGATTGCAAAGAGGAAAATCAGTTGATCTGAAAGGAATGTCTCATAGCCTGAAAGCAAATGAATTATCTGATCCACTACCCTGAAGTCCTGTATTAAATACAGGTGTGGATGATCCTTCCCATTAGCTGCTCCAGATAATGGTTTTCTTTGAGGATGAGAAGTCTCTGGACAGCACAAAGGTTCTTAGTGTCCCCTACTGACCTTCTCTCCCCGCTCCTGGCATCATTAACATAATCACTGCAGAGAGTCCATATAAACACTGATGGGGCCTCCCTGGCTGCCTGCCAGCCACACCCCTGTAAAGCCACAGAGACAGCAATAAAACAAGTTGTACACTTGTGCCCCAGCTGCTTGGGGCCCTGCTTCAGCCCAGCTGATGCTCTGGCATGGTTTGTTTGAGGATATTAAATTTCTAAAATGGGATGTGATTGTCTTCTCCCTAATTGCTTTCATGAGTTAAAGGAAGGATGCAAGCAAGCAACTCTGCTCTCATTTTGTAGCTGTTCTCGTGTGTAGCTGGTCTCTTGGCAGTATGACAAACTGTATTTTCCAACAGCTGACCAGAGGATTGGAAATCATCTGTCATTTGAGGAGGTTGCACTTTATTTTTCTGTAGATGTACATATAAGAATATAGGCTTCAAAGCTGACAATCCCCCTTCATAAACTCACCAGTTTCTCTTATAAAGGATTGAAGTTTGTGATCCCTCCACTTCCTTTTCACTGGAAAGATTAATTCATTTTTTGATGGCAAGAGACTTTCTTACTCCTGTTTCCAGTCTGAGTTCATTCATGGTCACTATGGACTCGCCCAAAGGTCTCTGCTGATGAAGCACCCAAGGAGACACTGCCAGTGGTTCTGATGGTGGGCTCTGAACTGCACTGAACTGGTCTTGGGTGAGCTGTGGGAACTCAGCCTTGGTTTTCTTCCAAATGCCCCCAAAATGGAGCTCTGAGAAACTTGGTCTAGTGGAACCTGTCCCTGCCCATGGCAGGGGAGTGGGTTCCAACCCAACCCAAACTTTCTATGAAAGTCCAGCTAAAGGCAAAACTGTGGCCTTGAATAGCAGCAGGCTTGTGCTGAGGAAGGGAGCAGGTGCCTTGATACCTCAGGTCAGTCCAGTGACCGATCTCATTTCTAATGTGGATGTAGAATGTTAATGTACAGGGCTCCCTGTCTTTTCCTAGGACTCTGTTTGTGGCTTCCAGAGAAGGGCAGTGGCCTCCTCTCTTCTCCATGATCCACATTCGGAGGCATACCCCCCTTCCTGCTGTCATGTTAATGGTAAGGAGATCTGGCTGTGTGCGACACACTCTGTTCTTTTGCTGTCTTGGCTTTCTTGCAAGGACTGGATAAACTGAGGAGTTTTAGAGGGTGTTGGGACATTAAATTATTCCCAGAAAAATAGAGAAGGCAGAATACAGGAAATGGCTGCAAAGTATTAAGTTCCCCTTGAGCCAGCAGTGGTATCCAAATGTACAACCTTGAAGTCCCTGCCTTATAATGTTACACATCTTTTTTTAAAGTACAGTCCCTACCATCTGCCACAGGTGCTGCTTGATATTGCCTTATGAAAATAGTTCTGCCAGGCTTTGGCTATCTGGAAATTTAAAATTCCCAGGTGTGGTGGAAATGCAGGGAATGAGCATTTGTAGAGATGGTCTGGTCTCCTGTTTTGGTTTGTTCAGGGTTTTTTTTACGGCAATGGTCCAGCTCTATCCCAACTGTGCTGCAGTGCCTGTTGCAGCTTGGCTGAGCTGCTAAAAACTTAGCAGATGTCATTGTAGATAGCCTGTGTACCAGCAGGGCAGGCTTTAGGATCATGCATGTTTTAGTTGCCCTGGCTTGGACATGAATCATCAAAGATGCTTCTGATCTTGAAATGATCACTCTTTTCTCTAGCACTACAGATCAGTGCCTTTAGGTCTTTAGTCTGTGACACTGTTTTGTAAAGCTCTCTGACCTCCAAAATGCTGGGGCTGTGAAGTAGTTGCAGGGGGGTTGGAGGAGGTGATCCATGGCTGTAATGACTGTATTTCATGTTCAAAATGCTCAGTTTCCTTTGGTCACTGCCATGGTGTGCATCGGAGACATCTACCATCTACTGAACTTCTTCAGCTTTTCTCGATGGCTCTTCATAGGATTAGCCACCCTCGGGCTCATCGTCCATCGCCACCGTCACCCGGAGCTGCACAGCCCCTTCAAGGTAAATGCAAAGCACGTACCTGGCAGCCAGGAACATGCAGGCCTGGCATCCCTCTCTTTGATTTGCTCATAATTACAGCATTACATGGCCATGGTTGCCTTTAGGCTCTGAGGGGTTTCAGTCTCTGATGCTTAATAATGGGGAGCTCCTGAAACTGGCTGGTGTGCCCAAACAGCCAGATGTGATAAATCCTATAAAGCCAGTTCTACATGGGGTCACCAGATGCATCTGTTAGAAGACTGGTTGCTACAAGTGACAGTTTCAGGCTTGGAACTGGGAGATGTACAGAGAGAAGTTCTCTGGCTCATCTCTTGTGGCCTACAAGAAGGAACTCTTGCCTGGATGTTATTTCAGTGGCAGGTAAGTCTCAGCTCTAGCTGAGAAGCAGGAAGGTGTCAGTCTTGGGGGAAAAGGAACATGGGTGGAGGGGTCTGGGGAGCAAACCTGACTTGGGAGGAATCATCTGCTGGTATAGAAATATTGTCAGCATGTAAAGCAGTGGGCACCTCTTGTGGCCCTTCTCACTCTCCTGGGTGCTGGGATCCCCCCTCATGTCAGCAGGAGATGCTGGAGCAGCTTTCCTGTGCTTGGGCACCTTTCCCACTGCCAGATAATGTGCAGAAGGCATTAGGTTGGGGCGGTGCTTGAGGCGGGCACAGTTTGCTCCTGGCTCTGGTCGCCCCAGCGTGGTGCCTCCAGGCAGCAGTGAAGAGAGGGCACCTCCGGGGCTGTGGGCACTGGGCAGCGAGGAGCTCGGGCACAGAAACAGTTCCTGCAGCTCGCAGGGGTCCTCTGAGCTGGGTGCATCCGCCTGCAAAATTTGGGGTAATTTTTCTTCTCGGTCTTTGCATTTAGCAGAGACCTTGAGGCTTCCCAGTTTGTTAGCTGGCTGCACTCGCATACTCCCCCAGAACCAAACTGAATAAGTTTAGTTTACTTTTTCTTTCAAACCAATCTTTTCAGGGGAGATTTATTAGTGGGCGACACTGCTGATGGTTTCAGGTGCTGAGATTTTGCCCTGGTTTTCTTCAGACAAAGATTCAGACTTCTAGCGGCTCCTAAATGCTGATTAAACGACGGAGGGAAATACTGGCCTTTTGGTCGGTTCGGCTGGCTTTGCCCCGCCGTTTCCCTGGTTTTTATCAGTTCCGTGCCCGAGGCAGGGGCTGCGCGCGGGTGGCGCGGGCATGTGCTGCGCTCTAGTGGAGAGCAAAGCGTGGCACCCGTGTGACAGCGCCGGCACTTACTCTCTCTATAGCATTCCGAGTTAAAAACGGTGAGAAAACACCGGAAAGAGGAGGGAGCAGTCCTCTCGCACACATCTCAAGAAAATGCGCAGCGTGAGTTGTGTGCATGTAGGAGCGGCTGGCAGAGGATGCTCTGAAAAAGCAGCTGGAAAGACAAGAGTACCTAAGTTTGATGGCTGGAGGGCTGCCATACCTATAGCAACTGATCTCTTCCAACTTGGCATGTTCAGTATCCAAAATACAATCTTTATTACTGGTAAAGATTGTCACCTTATATGAGAGCAGCTCCTTCATTCCTTCAGCCATGGCAAGAAGTCACTTGGCAGAGTTTGGATCCAGAGACAGAGGGAGTGTTTCACAGTTTTATTATTTATTGCAAGTTTTCCTATTTGCTCTCCAAATAACCCAGACGAATTGACTCATCCAATAGGGTATGGCTGAAGTGCTGAGTGCTGCTTTGATTTTCACCATGGTGTCACTGAAGCTGAAATTCTTGGTGCAGGTACTACAGAGATAGGGATAGGGAGTCTGGTTTGTCTTGGTTTAGTCACTATAAGTCTCAGGCAAACTGGAGGCAGGTCAACACGAGTAATGAATTTTATAAGCAAGGAACAGTCTGATTCAAAGTGTCACTTCTTTCTTGGCTTCAGATTTTCCCTCAGCGGTTGCCTGAGCTAGCAAGTAGGTATGTGTGCCTGTGCATGCATAGGTGCAGGACATTCACAGAGCTGTGGGGTGTAGGTGGCTTCTCCCCCTGCTTGGCTTCCAGTTGCAAGTTAGGTTTAGATTTTGGTGCACATGAATATAGGAGGCATGCACCTCACAGGGCGCTCTGGGCTCTGAAGCTGATGCAGTTGTATTGCAGTCTGATTGTACAGAAGCATTCTTCAGGACAGGATATGATTATTCTGATTTTCTTTAGGTGGAGAAATGAATGCAGTGTGTCCTGGCACGTACAGAGTCTGATCAGCTAGAGCCACCAGTTTTTCCTGACAGTCTTCTGTGCTCTTTTCCTCAGGTTCCCCTGTTTGTTCCTGTCTCTTTTACCATCATCTGCCTCTTCACAGTGGCAATGTCTTTCTATTCAGACCCTGTGAACATCAGCATTGGATGCATCATAGTTTTGAGTGGGTTTCCAGTCTACTACCTCATCATTCACAGGCAGATGTCAGATCGCTGCCGCAAGCTGTTCTGTAAGTATGCATTTCACTTTCAGTACTGTGGACCTAAACACGCTCAAGGGTCAGGGTGCTAGTTTGTTCCCAGGGCTCACCTCTGATGCAAATTGCTCCTTGACCAACAGACCTCATGAAACCTAAGTCATGACCACTGGCACCACTCTGGTGTCTTTCCCAAGGCACAGCCGCCACAGTCAAATTTGTTTTAACAAAGAAAATGCTGAGGTCTATCAGCAGGGGGAACAGAGAGGGCTGCTTTCCCACCTCAGCCCTAGTACCCACTAAACTTTATCATGTCTTTGGGATCAACAGCTCTGGGTGAAATTTGTCTGAGATGGAGCAGAAAGATGAAAAGTTAGGATGGAGAGACTACAGGCAGATGCTGTAACCCCATGCACAAACTTGCTTGCTGAAAGGCTGGGGAGAGGGCTGCTAGGAGAAGAGCACTGCCAGAGGTCTGTGTGCTTAGTGAAGAGGCCAGGGTGGTTTGGGCACAAATGTAGCCGTGGAAACGAAGTACATCTCCACTCCAGACAGTGAGTAGTACAGATTTCCTTTGGATGTAGGCATGGTGGCACAAGAGTTTTTTCAGAAATGAGAGCCTGGGTTTGAGTTTAATTTGTTGTTTCTGTTCCAAGTCTTGTTTTCTTTTGATTTGATGTTGGATGGAAGTGCATCAGTAACCACTCAGTAGAGGAAAACATATAGCAAGAAAGGAAATAGATACAATGATCTGCCAACACAAAGTGCTCCAGCCATCAGTGCTGGTGCTCTGATTTTCAGCCATGTCTCAGGATTTCCTCTGGACTAAGCTTCCTTCCTTTTTTTCCTACCCTTTCAGATTATCTTACACACAAACTACAGTTACTGCTGGAAGTTGTCCAACAAGAAATCAAGACTTACTAAGAAAACCATCAAAACTCACAGAAGACAATAAAAATCTACTTACACCATTTTTGATACCTTTGATCCTACCAAAAGCAGGCCATGATTTTATTCTTTTTAGTCAGTGCAACTGAGGATGACTGAGACAAAACCTTGCTGCAAGTGTTCCTAAGCTTGCCAACTGGGATCTCTTCCTGCCCTTTTATTTTTTTTCAGAAGAGCAAACTAGTTCTCTGAAATGAGCTTGCTTTGCCTGCAGAGTGTCTTTGAAACCAAGATCCTAATTTTGCAGCCTAGCCCAGTCCTGAGAAAAATTCTGTCTGTGTGTGTGTGTGTGTGTGTGTACAGAGACAGTATTTTGTTTTCCTGGCTTGGCAAATAGAGGAAGTGGGCATGTTGCAAAACCTAGAATCCAATACATGGAAGCCAAATGCAAGTTTCAAACAGAACTACTACAGCAGCCTTGTGGACAAGAGGAAGGGTTGGGGAGACCTAACTAGAGGTAAAGCAGATGAATTGGAAAGGGAAATACAAGGGGATAAAATTTTTATCCACCAGAAAGTGCAGATTGAGCTAATGAGAAGATATTTGAAATCCAAGTATTAACAAAGTAAAGTCAGAATGTTTTGCTTTGATTTGTGTATAAGCAGAATTTTTTTAGCTTTGAAATAATATTTCAACTTTGAATTTTACCTTTCTGAAATTACATTTTAAAATGTACAAATGCATTTTTAAAGCAATCAGTTAAATATCAACTAGAATATGACAGGAGAGATCCTGATCCCTCCCCCAGCTTCCCAGACCCACTCCTCACCAGTGAAGTTGAAAACAGAATTTGGCCTAGCTCCAGTGAAATACAATTCCTCCTTTAATTAGACAGGACCACTGATGAGACTTGGGCAAATTCCTGAATAAATGCATCTTCTGGTGCTGTAAGAAGACATGAGTGACTTCACATCCAAGCTTTAACTTGCCAATAGCGCATGACTTGCTGATTTAATCCATAAATGTTCATTTGAACTATGGCATAAGAAAGGTTTCCATTATTGGATTACTTTGGTTTACATTATTAATGTGACAATGTATGTCCAGATAATACACCAATTACCTTTTTACAATCACGTAATTGTTAATCAGTTGCTAAAAGATGGGAAGTAGCATGCTAAGACTCTTCTAATGACTGCTGGAAAGAGGAACAGCAGAATGTGGAGCATTTTTTAATCCTTTGTATCAAACATTTATGTACTTAAAATAAAAACAAAGTACCATTTACAAATCCAATGTAATCTACTGAAACATGTAAAATTTTGGAACTAAATTTGGGTTATTTTCAAAGCAACTGAGAATTATTATTCTTGTAGTGACTGGTTCCTGTTCCTAGGCTGAGTTAAGCTGGGACAGCAGCAATGTGGTAGCAGGGCTTGTTTCCCCACTCCCATCCCACAATTTAATTTACAAGCTGCTGGACATTGTCCAACAGAAAATACAGTCTCACGGAAAATCCTCACAGCAGAAACCATCACAACCTACAGGAGAAGTTCCTGGCTTTAAATGATAGAATGGATTCAAGTGAGATCTGGAAATGCTTCCAGGATCCCAGACAAGAGCCAATCCCTCCTCGTGCCAGGCTTTCCTGAAGCTGAACTGCCTGGTACACCTTCCCAGCCCAGTGGTGGACCAGGACGCAGTATGGGTGGCTGGGGGACCAACCTGCAGAAGACCTTGCAGAACCAGGTGAGCTCAATCACCCAAACATTTCCTGGGTCCACCCACTTTGGTCTGGAGGTTTTACACATCTTAAGGTAGCATGAGATACTGCCAGCCCGGTCCCAGGCTGCAATACTCATGTGAGCACGGTGTGCATGTGTTGTAGCATCAGGACTCCCAGTCTGAAATTGCAACAGAGCTGCTGCATGTCACAGAGGCACAGACAAAGGGTGAAAAGTCCCTTCTTTGTCCATTTCCTCTGAAGAGAACAAATGAACAAGAATTGAAATTCCTGGGAGGAACTAAGTAGTGCTACCATAAAGGATAAGTCATTTGACATGCAGGAAAACCACACTTGGGTGCCTCTACTGACTGTGCAGGAACATGATCTCACAGGGCTATACATAGGATGTCTGCTCTGAGACCTGTTCCATTCCCAGATACTGGAAACTCAGACAGATATAGTACCTTGGTCGAGAAATCAGAGGTTCAACAGCTCCACAGATGACATTGCAATTAAAAGGGACAAAACAAAAAAATATGTTGTTCAGAAGGTATAAATTTACAGTGAGCTCAAGTTTCCAGTTTGTGGAGCGCTGTTTGTTTTTAGAGAGGATGGTGTGCTGCTCCCAGCAAAGATATTCTACCAAGCCAGAATGCTCTTCCTAAAGCTCCTGCCTCATGTCTACTGAAGCACTTAGGCCTCAGTGGGTCTAAGAGCTTCAAGAATGGCCAGAAGTGAAAGAAAGTGAGTTCATAATCACATTTGTGGTGTTGTTTTTTTGTTTTGTTTTGGTTTTTTGTGTGTGTATGCTAGGGGTTTCGTTGTTGTTGGGTTGGTTTGTTTGTTTTAATGCCATGTCTGTAGAATGCACTCAGAGTGTACCCTTTCTGGAACTCAGAGATTTATATGTTTCAGCCACTGCTGATCTGGTGTGACTGGATCACCAGGAAAGAAAAATGTTCTGGGCAGTTCAACTGGACACAATCTGAGAATAAAAAAAAAGTCAAAGAAATGCTTTCAGCTTAACAAGTTTGCATCTTAAGACTACTTGACCTGTTGTTAAGCTTTATGCCTCAGAGCTCTGCTGGGAAATGCTGTCAGCTTCTGAAAGGCTGGAGGTCAGACTGGGAAGTTCCTAAGCCTTGTCTGATTAGTGTGGGGAAGAGCAGAGAGGAGGATCAAACTTCAAGGTGCAGGAACAAAAACACCTGGGATGGCACAGAGCTCCGAGGGCTGATCGAGCCTGTCTTGCAGGGCTCTGTGCATGGCACACACAGGTTTGTGTGGCTCAGTATGGCTCTCCTTGCTGCAAACCCCCCACCAGTGCCCATACAACCTTGGGGAGAGCAGGATGAACAACACCCACATCCTGCACTGAGATTTGGGGGGGCACTTTAGAAGGCAATGTCAGCTGTTGGCTTTCCAAGAATGATGTTCAACAGAAGCTGCTCCTTATAGAAAGGAGAAAGTGCTGAATATCCCCAGCCATTGGAAGGCTAAGAGGAATTGGTTGTAGGTAAGTACAATGGCAGGAATCCAGAAGCAAGGATAAATTCTGCTGGTTTGTAGTGACACTGATTTTGCAGTTGTATCTGCCAAAGCCCTGGGCTGGGCCTGGCCTGCTTGTGCTTGGCAGATGCGCATGCGTCTGTCGCAACAACCAGAAATAAATGTAACTGAGCCCCACTTCCTTAAGGGTCTGTGGCAGAGAGGCACCCGTGCTCCCACGGAGAGGCTGCGAGGGAGACAGCGAGGTACAGATGTGCTGTGAGCAGTTCACAGGGAGCTCTCACAGGCAAGCTGTGGCTCACTTTCAAAGGTGTTGCTGCACCCAGGACACCTTTGCCATGCAGAGCAAGGGTTAAGCAGGCTCATCCAGCCTGGCAAGCACAAGGCTGATGCTCTCAGCTCCTGAGGGTGGTGACTGGGCAGCCCAAGGACAGAACTGTGCCAGGGAAGTGGCACGTGCTTGGGCTCTGACAGCCTTCCCAGGGTGCAGCTGAGAGGGGAGGGTTGGACACACAGGAGGTTCAGGTTTTCATAGCTTGTGGGCTTGGCTTTAAGGTCTGCTGGAGAGTTACCTGCTTGCACTTTGTCATACTGTAAGTTGTGTTTGTATCTTCATTCATTCATCTTTTCTTGTGTAAGGGAAAAGTTTGCTTTTTAAGTATAAAATTTTCTCTGTATAAAGTTATTCCTACTAAGATATAAAAAGCAAATGTAGAGTTGCACAAGACCATGTAGTGAGATCTTCAGCAAAATGTGAAGGACGCTACCTGTCTTGCTGGCAAAACATTTCTGTCTGCTTTTGAAGTGTTTAATCTATGTTTATTTCTAGTTGGGGTTAGCTGATGAGTGGAGAATCCCAGCATGGAGCAGAAATGCTGGAAAGTGAAAAGAAAAGTAGGTCACAAGTGGACAAATTTGCAAGCTTACGTGATTAGGGCAGACTAGGAGCCCCAAGTCTCGGCAGAGGAGCTGGCAGGGGTTAGCAGGAGTTATCTGGAGTGGGGATAGCGAGAAGAGAGAGTTGGGCAGCAATGGAAAAAAACTGTCTGGAAACATCACCCCACCCCCCCTTCCCTGCTTTTCTTTCCATTTCCTTTCTCCCCACCTCCCTCCTCAAATTCCATCCTTCAAATCTGCCAACTTCAAATTCTTCAGCCATGCCAATAGCAGCAGCATCATGGTGCTGTGCAGAGGGGGAAAAAAGGGACAGCCATGTCCACAAAATCTCCTGGTAATGCTGGATCTCTTGAATGCCCTGCAATGGGAGAGAAGAATAGTTTGGAGCATTTTTCTAGGAAGCCTGGCTGGTGTTACTGCATATGCAGGCAGCGCTGGAACAAGGCCTGTGAAGGAGACCCAGGCTCTTCCTTGCTCTTTGTTCTGGCGGTGCGGGGCTTCCACGCCTTTGTTTTGGAGACCTTTGCACTGTAAACAGCTCTATGAGGGAGCTGCTCTTGTAATGATTTCCTCTCATTGGTCTGCTCTGAATACCCTTGATCCCTGCCAAAGTACAAAGGGCATCAGGGCTGGATACATGATGATTTCCAGTTTCTGTTTCAATATCATGTTCAGATTCTTCAGGCAGCTCAGAGCAGCTCTGTCACAGACCCTTGGAAGCTCAATGGCTGGCAGCTTTTTGCTATGGCTATGTGATCCATGATAGGCAATGTTGTAGGGGCAGTAAATTGGTGAGATACATTAAAAAAGTGTTGTCTGTGTCCAAAACTGGGAGATTGAATGAAGGGTGAAGCACAGCAGGCAGAAAAGTAAAATGCTATGAGTTAGAATTATTGGTAGCTATCTGTTTAATTTTCTTCTCTTTGTAGGTGCTGTGTCTATGACAGTGCAGAGTGGAGACTTTGCTGGTAAGTATTGATATCCCCTCCTGCAAGTGAGAGCTGCTTTCTCACTCCCTATCTTCAACAGGACAGCGGGGAGAAAATAAGATTCATGAGCTGAGATAAAGCCAAGATGAACAATGGGCAAGACAGACTTCACTTGGAGGAAGTTAGTTTATTGCCAATTAAGATAGATTTAAATTGTGAGAAAAGAAAATTAGATCACTTATTTCCCCCTCCATGGATTCCCAGTTTCAACTTCACTCTTTCATCCCTGACTTTTCTACCCTCTCCTACCAAAGCAAGGCAGAGAGGGAGGGAAATGGATGTTGTCCTCAGTCTATAAGACTTGCCATCTACTCCTCCATCATTCTCAAAAATTTCCAATGCTTCAGCGTGGTTCATTTCCCATGGGCTGCAGTCCTGCAGGATAAACGTGCTCTAGCATGGGTTCTTCTCCATGGACTGCAGCTTCCCTCAGGCCCTGTCCACATGCTGCAGTTTGGCCTTCTCCATGAGCTGCTGTGTGGATCTCTGCTCCATGGACCTTCACAGGCTGCAGGGGCACAGCTGTCTCACCATGGCCTTCTCTATGGGCTGCAGGAGAATGTCGGTGTCAAGTGTATCTTCTTAAAATGTATTTTTTAGGTAGATATATTTTTGAGAAAATCAGTGGCACAGGTCCAAGCCAGAGAGGTCAGGGTCATTTCTGAGGTGCTTACCATGCCCCATAAACATCCAAACACCAATTCCTCAGTTCTGGGGCAAACCTGCACTTTCTAGCTGGAGGGGGTCTCCTTTTTTTAAGAAGTGAATAGATTTCTGATCAGACCAGGGATACTGCACAATTTGACAGCTTTAGAAAAGGCCCCTACTTTGATCTGGATTTATTTTCCAATGCAGGACAGAGCAAGCAGCCAGGTGCCCATCAGCTCTTCTGCACTTGTGTTGTCTCCTGACTCATCTGTCTGCTCCTGAAAATGGAGTATGTCTGGTACTGGCTCGATGATTCCAAGCAGTGGATTGAGTATGGGAAAGAGGTGAAATTCGTCTGCTGTTCATGCCAAAAGCTTTTGTTAAGCCATCTTTGGAGAATTCTTTAGAGCGTGTTGTTCTGCAGCTGGTGTGTTCTACACGCACTGCTGGGTGCTCTTGCAGTGCTGTTCCAATGCCTGGCTGGAATTGTCTTCTTAATTGTCCCTCAAAGTGGGACTGGAACTCTGTGAAAGCTTTCAAGGGACTGGCTTGGTAAGCGGGTGCATTTTCCAGAGCTGACAAACATCATTTGGCTGGAGCTGACCACACAGGCTGAAGACTGCTTTGTTGCTGCTGTTAGAAGCAGCTGTGCTAGGTGGGGTACCCCTCCATCTCCGTAGAACAAAATGCTTGAAGCCGTAGAGACTTCAAAACATCCTCCTGTCATAGGGGCCTAGGGAAACATTGATATTTCAACACAGTGGCACCTAAACCAAAGGGTGGTTTCTAACATGTATAATTTCCTTGTTCTTTCTGCAGCACCCAGGTCATGTCACTGCCACTGTAACATCTGCATTTTTGGAGAATGAATATCAAGCTGACAAGAATGGTGTTATTTTTTTCAGGGCTGGTTCTCAGCAGTATAAGTTAGACTTTGCAGGTGAAGTATCTCCTTGTTTTAATTTCATTACATAGTGCAGATGGCTTGAAGGTTTTCACACTGTGTCTGCATCTCTTTGAATAGCTCTTCTTCCTCCTGCAAATTTTCTCCAAGCAGAAATTGAGCAGTAGGTAAATTTCTCTAAACTTTTGATGTGCCCCACTTGAGTTTCTACACTTGGGCATCTGTAGTCAAGCAAACAAACCTGACAATATTGTACCTTCAGAAGAAGAGCTGAGAATAAATGCTTGATGGCACCTTGGCTTATACATTCGTCATTATACACCTGAAAAGGAAGAATGAGAAATCAGGGGGGAAAAAACAAAAAGGCACTGAAAAGTCAAAAGGTGAAGAAGTGAGCCTATAGTGAACATCTTGCAAGCTACTTACAGGGAGAGAAAGCACAGTGCAGCAAACAAAAATTTAGGGCTGGTTGCATAGAGAGAGAATGGGGAAAATGAAAAATGCTTTTCTGTTTCTAATTTATTTACCCGTCTTAAAACTCCTGTTAGCTTTCCAAACTTTAAATGTTTCCTGGCATGAGTAAAGAGTGGTGTTTAAAGGAGGAAACAATGGATAATTAGCCATGTCACACAGCATGTGCTCTGTGATATTGTTACAGGACCAAGAAGGGAGGGCAGGCTTTGCTTTTAGCACCATGGAGCAGCCCTGTGCTGCCAGGAAAGCCAGGTTTGTGGCCCCCATTGCACTGAAAACTCTTTCCTGCTGCAGGCCTGCCATCAGATGTGGTTTTCTCTGGCCAGCAGCCTGGATATGAGTACCAGTGCAGGTGCAGTTAGTGCTTGGTTGCCTTCAAGTTCCACAGCCTATGCTAGTAGGTGACCTTGCTGATCTTCAAGTAGGAGCAGTGCAAGTGGGAATGAAGTTTGCACTGGGGTGGGTGTGATAGAGAGAGCACCACAATGCAATATTCAGGGCTACCTCTTCTTTTATTTTTACTCAACATGCAAGAGCCTGTCCCTAGACAATGAATTATCTCATTATTGAGTTTTTGTGTTTTTCTTTCTAGACATGGTCCAAACAAATGTGCTCTTTAAAACTAAAAGAAGTGTTATTCGACTGCCTAACGCTGAAGATGGACAAGATGGAAGGTAATACACATTCACTGTTTAACAGTATCTCTAGAGGACAGCACCTTTCTGCTAAGAAGTTCCTCCTACCCACCTAGACTGCAATTTTATATTTCTTAAATTAATTTTTAGATACCTTTTCCTGACTGGTTTAATAGCACATTTTGCAGTGACAGTATTTGTAAATTATGTAACGCTTCTGTAAAAGTCTCTGGAGGGATGTTTGCTGGCAGTCTGTGGCAGCTGTGAAAGACCACTAGAGCAAATCTGCTCTCTCTGTGAGAGGCAAGGCCACATAGGACTGACACAACTGTGCCACGAATTTTTATTCCTTGATTTGTGCCCCAACACTAATAAATAAACGGTGTAGTGATTAGGAGCGAGGGACTGCCAATCCCAAGAGCTGTGGTGCATGTGGATGTCATCTCTTGGAAAGCTGAGGATAAACTAAAACCCAGAACAGGCAAATCCACTGAAATGAAGTGAATTAGAGGCACTTAATTGAGATACCCTACTTTATGGCTTTTTCTAAAAGAAGTTCAGTTTAAAAGAATTTGAACATATCTGCTATAAATGTTATTTGTACTACTGATTTATTTTAACTTACTAGCAGACGCTGCATGTGAAGCTGAGGGTTCAATTAAAGTGTTGGTTCAACCTAAGGTGGGTTCATTCAAAAAGAAAACAAACTATAGCTTGTGAATGGATGCCTGAAGGCTGCTTTAGAGCCCATGGTTAGATTCACCAGAAGGGGGATTTGGTTAGGAGTATCACCAGCTGACTGGCTCCTTTTTCTATTCTGTAGCCAAAACATGACTCTATCACATCCTGTCTATCCTCCACAGTGGGACCAAACTGCACTGCCTGATATTGGGTACAAGGTAGGACTTTCCAGCTCTCCAGTGGGTGGCGAGAGCTCTCTCCTGTACTGATTTTTCCAAGACCACAATTCAAGGCAATTAAGATGTTACCAGCTTTTAAATGTGTCTTGTAAAATAAGCAGCTATGATGTGAAAAAAGACTGACAGTTTCATATTCAGAACAGATGTGCATTTCCTGAGAGATCTCTGAGAATGATGTGGTATCATCTCCCCTATGATACCACACAGGGTAAGAAAGGCCATTGCTGCTCATACCCGTTCTTTGCACTCTCCCAAGGCACTTCATCCCCTCATAAACCAGATTAATTGTATCTTAATGTGGCATTTCCTCTGTCAGTTTGAGGCAGGATGTTATCTGCTGTGGTAAAACTGCAACTTAGCCTTGTAGGGCAGAGTAGTGTCAGATTAAGGTGAAAATTTCACTCTGCTTCAGCCTCAATGTTGCTGTGCATTTCAACTTTAGGTTACTCTGAGCTAAAAATAGTCCAGATGTGGAGGTGCACCCTCAAAAGGAAGCTCATGTGGGGTTGCACTGGTTTCCCTCAGTCGGTGTCTGTGCTTCCACCTGGGGAGTGATGATAAAGGAGGGTTGATAGGAAAAACAGAAGCAGCTTGTGATTTTTCTGGTAGGGCTTTTCAGCAGATGTGAGAAGGTTGATGAGTCCTTTGAAAGGACTGGGAGTTGTTACTCTCAGTAATACCTTATTTTTAGTGCTTTAAAAATTTGCAGTTGATACAGCTCAGCAATGATTCCCAAGAATATACAAAAATCAAGAGGCTGTTTGAGAAGACAATGAAAAATTACTGCATCAAACAACTGCAGAGGATTCAGAACCCAACACTTTGGGACATTTTTCAGTGGTTTGTATCTACTTTATTTCATTATCCTTACTGTATGAGAAGACTGGTATTTTCTGATCTGTTGTCCTCCATAGTCTACATTTAGAGCTGCCAAATTCAGCAGTCCAACAGAGGTGAGGTTGCCACATATCTCTCTGCCCAGGTCTGGCTGGTGGCCCAGACTTATGACTGCTCCAAAACCTGGCTCCCTGAGGCTGAGGCTTCCCTGGGGCAGTCCTGGAAGGGGACTGAGGCTCCTCTGTCTGTGACTGAGTTGTTAGTATTGCATCTGTATTATTTTGTGTGTGCAGAAAGGAGCCTTTTATCCCTAGAAAGATATGTGTGTGATTCTTGCTAGTGTTATTCAAAAAGGAAATTATTTTCCTTCATCATAACTGAGCTTTGGTGTTTCATGTTTATACTTTTGGTTTTAGCCTCTTCCACATAGGAGTTAGGGAAAAAAAAAAAAAAAAAAGAGGAGACTTTTTTTGGTGATAAAGATAAGGGCAGAGATTATACAATCTTCACTGTAGCTTCATACAGCTCAGTTTTATAATCATATTTATGTATTCAGGATTTATATAACATGGGAACTGACCAATTCCTAGTCAAGAGATGTTTGTCTCTTTACTCTCTCATGTGGTATGAAGTTGTGGATGACACAGTCCATAGTCCAGCTGCTGAGAACTTTTTGTTTTGCTGGCAGGAGCCAACTGTGTGGCAGGGTACCAGCAGAAGTGCAAAGCAGGCAGTAACCCCCCTGAGAGTGGTTTGTGTCACTGTTCCTCCCTGACCCAGAAGTAGGAGGAGTTGAGTTGGGAAATTTTCCTTGTTTGAACCAGGAAAACAAGTAGGGTTGGGGGGGTTTTTTTGTTTGTTTTTTTGGTTTTTTTTGTTTGGTTTTTTTTTGGCTGTCTCTAGGCAAAAAGAAAAGATGAAGAAGCTCCATCAATCGAAAGGAGTGAAGGAGAGGCTCCTATTCCATGGCACAAGTCCATCCCATGTGTCTGCCATCTGTGAGCAGAACTTTGACTGGAGACTCTGTGGGACTCATGGGACAATGTATGGAAAAGGTACAAGTGCAGAAGGGTGTAGGGGCTGTAGCAGCAGGGACTGCAGACCCCAGCCAAGCTGGGGGATGTGGGTGCGAAGTGACTGATGGTTCCTGACCCATGTACTCCTGCCTTTAGGGCATGGTCACCTGTGTACACCTGCATTGCTTTCGGTAGCACCCACAGCAGCAATCCCATTCCAGGAAGGGCTAAAAACACCTCTCTTTGCCTCAGGTGCCTGCTCTTGGACAGGTGGGACTGGGAGGCTGATGGTGAAATGTGGACTGGATTTGGTACTTTACAATAAGCCAGGGTGGGAACACCTGGCAAGAATGTTCCCACACATTGTAGAGCTAGCTGGGCTTGTTGGATTGCTGGCTGCCAAGGTGCTGTTAGCACATGCTTGTCCCTTGGCTGGTGTATTGTCTGACCTGTCACTTTTTCTGCTCCCTAGGAAGCTACTTTGCCAGAGATGCCAGCTATTCCCATGAGTACTGCTCCTCGCTCGGTGGGCGCTACAGCATGTTCGTAGCTCAGGTTCTTGCTGGAGACTTTGTGCGGGGGAACCCTGAGTACTGCCGCCCTCCACCCAGAGACAAAAATTCAAACAGACTTTATGACAGCTGCGTGGATGACCCAACAGACCCTTCCATCTTTGTCATCTTTGAGAAGCAACAAATTTACCCTGCCTATATTTTGGAATACAGCCTTGAGACCAGCTGTGTGGTCCTGTAATGAATGGTGGAATGTCTTTTGAATTCACACTGAATAAATTACTCTTCAGTACTTTTTTTTAAAATGTTTGTTCAATTTTAGTTGTAGCTTTAGAACACTTTGTAGTGCAGCGAACCAGTATGAATGCCCTGATTGTTTGGGGGGGCATAGTGTTTTGCTAGGGGCTATTCTTTCCCCAGAAGCAGTGCCAAGCTTTAGCATTCAGCATATCTCTAGCCTGGAATGGGGACAGATATACCTGCCTTGCATACCATGATGCAGTGACACCTGCTGAGTTGAAATTACCTTGATCCACTGATATGGTCACCTTGGGTTGATTCCTGCCTGTGATGGTGCTGATATGCCAAAGGGAGGCTGAGCAGGGAATGTGGAAGGAAAAGTGAAAGTACCTACATCATGGTGCTCAAGAGAGGAATCATGACCTGTCTTTCAAATAAACGGCAGGAAGCTCCTGCATCCTGAAGGCTTTGTAATTAATTCTGGCAAAGAACTTTGCTTTGTTTCCTGGTCATATTGCTGTTTCTTCTTACCATTTTCTGCTGTGTCAAGTCTGCATTTGGTTAAGAAAATAAACAACATTCAGGCCTCAGCCTGAATGACACCCTGTGACACCCTGTCCTTCCTCTGTTCCCACTGGATCTAGGTCAAGAAAAGCAGGGATATGGCAGCTGCTGAAGTTAGATCCCCACCATGCCATGACATCAGCAGTGAGGAAGTCCATGGTGAGCTGAATAATGGCACACAGCAGTGTGTGCACAGGGCTGTGGGACCAGTTCCTGCAGCAGTGAGCAGTGAGACACTGGGGCTTTGTGACAACTGGCTGCTGGCACGGCCACCTCCTTCCCACCCTGCAGGCTGGCACTGGTGGTGGCTGTTTTGGATTACACTGCTGCTGCCTGGAACTTCTGATGATGAAGTGCCCCAGTGGCATGTGCTCCAGCTAGGATGGATGGTGGGGGAAGTATGAATTATGGTCATAGTACTTGAAACTTGGTGGATAATGGGATAACATTTGGGATAGTGATAGCATGGAAACAAAAATGAATGGTTTATTTTAATACAGTCATGAGGTGTAAGTTATAATTCAGCAGAGGAGTCACAAGTAGTTCACTTGTGTGTGCCACAGCTGAGAGGAACCAAGAGGAGGGCTCTGTGTAGGATCTCATCAGCTTTCCTAAAGCTGCTATCTTCAGGCACAATCAGTGTCTTTAGGGAATTTTGAAAGACAGGTGACTGCAGAAAGTCCCTAAGCTACACTAATTCATGCATTTCCACATCTCACTGCTTTTGCAGAAGCTTAAACGTTGTTCTTTTGTAAATTAGTGATTTAGTCTTGTCATTCACAGGTGAGCAGAGAACTTTCCACACAATCAGGAAGTAAAAATGAAAGTCACTTAAGGTGACTTAAAGTGGATAGGAAGGGACTGAACAGTGACCATTTTCAACTGTCACCCTACATTGGTCCTTGCAACATTCCATAGATTTCCTCTATGGCTTCATCAGGGGGCTTGGACATGCAGCCTTTTGGCAGGACAGGGGCTGGGAGATGGAGGGTTTGGGAAGAGTTTTGCTATTATACAAAATACTCTGTGGAATGATGCCTGTGTAAAAAATCATCTTCCCCCCTTCTTTTCCTCCATGACAGAAGAAACCAGCCGTCATGTGGGAGAAAGTTATTTCCAGGAAGGCGAGCTTCAGAGTATGATTGCCAAATTCATCAGAGGCAGGAGAAGGTAAGGAAGAGCCTGCTGAGAAGCAGGCCAGCTACGGGCAAAGGGGGGGTTGTTGATCTGAAAAAGTGGAAAAAGGCAGAGAACAGAGAAAACATGCACAGTTTGGAAGAAAAATAAGATTTTCCAGTAAGTCAAAACTACTTCTGACTACAGGGAGGGAGAGTTTCTCACAGCCTCCAGCTGCCTCCAGAATTAGGTGCCGGGTGTCATATCAAGAAGATAGGCAGGATCTGGTGTGAGCAGTGGTAACAGTGTGCAGTGGTGTGGCACTGCTTGGGCTCTGCAGGTGCTGGAGTACCAGATCTGACATGGAAGTTCTCCTTGAAGAGCCTGCAGCCTTTCAGGGTCACCCTCTGCAAATCTCCCTTTGTGCTACTGCTCAAAGCACTCCTGCCTCCAGATGGGTGCTGCTGCTGTTTCCCCCACGCCACTGCTGGATGGAGGGGAGCAGATGCAGGGAATTCACCTGCTTGAAAACTACCTAGCCAAAACCCCCACAAGACCCAAACCCAAAATATGGTGTTCAGCATGAGCAGTTTCCAGTTCTGCTTCTGTCGACACCAACAGAGAGCTGAGCAGGCTGCAGCATGATTTTTAACTGGCATAAGAAGATCCTGAACCTCTAGCCCAAGCAGATCTGGGAATCTAAAGCTAAAAGACTCGGGAATATTTGAGCCAGTGAGGCACCGAGAGCAGAAGCTGCTAGTAAAAGTGAAGAGCAACTTAATCTATGAATACTTTTTCATGGGACTTTTGTTCAGGATCATGAATTTGCTAAATCTTCTTCCCAACCTGAACCTCTGGCTGCCTCTGGAGTACCCGGGTGCCTTCTACTTTGCAACTTAATCTATGAATACTTTTTCATGGGACTTTTGTTCAGGATCATCAATTTGCTAAATCTTCTTCCCAACCTGAACCTCTGGCTGCCTCTGGAGTACCCGGGTGCCTTCAAAGTACTAAGCAGAAAGCATTCCTCAGCACCCTTTTAGATGAGAAATACTTGCAAACGATCAGCAACATGTGTGCTAGTCGGCAGGCACCAAGCATGGATCTACTGTCTTTTCATTCACTTTTCTTTCCCCCTGAAAAAAATTAAGATGTGTTGATTGTTTCTGACTCATGCATGTGATTGACAGTTTCACAGTCACCAAGATGTTGATGGGACAGGTCTGGCCTGAGGAACACTGATTTCTGAGTGGGTGAACACTGATTTATGAGGGGTTTGCTTCTTCCTATGTCAGCCAGGCTGACACAGGATGGGCAGTGCTGCAGTGGGCTTGCTCTGCAGCAGCAGCCTCTCTTTGTCATCTCCTGGACAGGCTGCTGTGGGCATCAGCAGCTTCTCCAGTAATTTCTTTAGCAATTGCTTTTCAGGAACCAGCAACTATTCATAAGGATCAATGGATGCATTTTGTACTCATATAAATAGTGTATTTTTTCTATGTATTCAAATGTACTGTCTTTGCCTGCAAGCATGTTAGCTCAAGTGATCTTTTCATCATAATGTATTTCTAATTGATTTTATTGTGGTTCTCTTATGGCTTCACACCATGCCTAGCTTTAACACAGTTGGTTATATATTCATGCAACTGGTGTAGGCTTTCTATTAAATAACACCACAACACGTTTTCAGGCTTTCTTTTCATTTACTGGTGCTGAGTTTGACTTCTCAGTATTTTTAAGAAACCTTTTAACAATTTTGACAGAATTTAGTACAGGATGATTAAACTGCAGAAACCTAATGCTTGATTGAATGTGCTGAATGACATATTATTTTCCAAAACATTCAAACTGTTAAAAATCAACCTGAGCCCCATAACCTGGCACGACCACTTTATGGGTGCCAAGTGAAGAAAACACAGATATTGTTCTTGGCATGACATGCTCAACAATTGTATTATTTAACAAGGCTCTTTCTAGATTGAGGGAATAATGAACCCAGATCACTGTGGTAATGATGGAGAAGGGCAGGAGTCTTTAGTTAGCAGCCTGTAGAAGACAGATCTCAGGCAACAGTTTTTGCTGGTTGTTCCTGTTCTTTTTCAGTGCCTGTTGTCAGGCATGCTGAGTCCTAGGCATGATTTCCCAGAGCAACTCAAACTGTCTTTACAAGGTTACTTTTACATCTAGCTTACAAATAGGAGCAATAGGGAAGGCTGACCTGGTTCTTATCCATCTGTTCTTAATAAGCTTAGATTTCCCTTCCAGCTGGCTTCCAGCGATGTCAGAGGGCCCATGAATTGGTGTGCCAGTGTTCAACTTAGAAATGCTTGGGAAATGTCTACACGTGATATCCCCACCACTGGAGGAAGCTTTGTCTTTACTCACTCCCAAGGAGAAGTTTTATTTCAGTGTGTGTTCTGTAAATAATTTTGCTTGGTCTGTATCTTCAGCTTTGGTCTCCTTAACTGTATTTTATTTTCAACATCGTTTTCCATTTACTAAGTCCAAAGCAGGTGTTGGAAGTCACACTGGTCTCTGCTTAAACAATTTGTGCACCCTTTCATTCTTGCTTCTTGCAGGCTCTTTCTGACTGCCTTTTGCAGATAGACCCTTGCAACTTCCAGTTTGCTTTTCTGTTAAAAATTCCTGCAGGTTTATGGGGCTTTTTTACTATGTTCTGTACCATCCATCTCAAGCTGTGATCCATTCTTCTCTCCTGAAAGCCAGCTGACCTTTGTTTTGTCTCTCAGCTCAAGCAAGTTCTTCTAAGAGTCTTTTTTCATATCCTTTTTCCTCTTTGATCCTCATACAATATGACCTCATTTTAGCAGTGACACAACCTCTGCCTTCACATAACTTATTTGACTGAAGGTTCTCACATCAATCCTAATGTCTTAAAAAAATCCCTCTTTTTTTGTTTCTTTTTTTGTGGGGTTTCCTGGTTGGTTGGTTGATTTGGTTGGGTTTTTTTCACTGAGCAAGTCAAATTCCTTACTAACAGACTGTCCTCTGTACCTTTCCTTAGTCAGAAATGTGATTAGTTTCACTGCAGGCTACTAACTAAACCTAAACTTTGAGACATTGCTACCAAACTACAGTTTAGCTATCCGGATCTTCTCCACCTGCTGCTATGCCTGAACAGTCTGAGTAACTCAATGACATGTCTTGATCACTGGCTTTTCTTTTCCTTCCCAGACTGACCTTTGGATTGTTTTTCTTTTCTTCCCCTCAACTTTCAGTTCTACTTATTCCTGTTAACTTGTGGCATCTAGGCTGTTTCCTGAGCTGAAACATAATTAATGACAATCGTAAGTAAAAAAGCTGCATTACATAACTGAGAAGACAACTTGCAGGACTCTTCTCTATCTAAATGCCATCAACCAACATAAAAATTAACATAATCCTCTAATGACT